TCATCACTGTGTCTGTCACGCGACTCTGTTCCCCTTTCGGCTTGAACTGATGGTAAAACTAATGACATTATTAACTGTCTTTACATTTATTTTGAAAGCTGAAGCTCGCGATTATGTAAGGGGCATTACATTTCCGACGAGTGCTTGCGGTTTTCAGCCAATCACAATGCACTGGGTCAGCTGGCCAATCAGAGCAGACTGTGCTTGTCGGAAGGAGGGACTTTGTAGAAAACGAAGCGTTTGAGAGAGGCAGGGCATAGAGGACCTACAATAATGTACAGTATTTGAAAAATGTGTTTTTTGAACATTAAAGCATGTCAACATATTCTGTTACACCAAATACACAAAATAATGATCTTTAAAAAAGCATCATATAACCTCTTTAAACTAACTCAGCTGTGGTCATTTTGAGCATGAAAAGAGCTTTCCTGGAGCATTTCAGTCCTTGGTAGTGCAACTGAAGCAAACAATCAACAATGGGCACCCATCAAAAGATTTCCGGGATAAAGTTGTGGACAGGCACAAGTCAGGAGATGGATACAAAAAAATTCAAAGGTTTTATCAATGCCTAGAAGCACAGTGAAGTCTATTATTAAGTGGAAGGTATTTGGTACAACACAGATCCTCCCTGAATCAGGACGTCACTCCAAACTGAATGAAAGAGGCAGGAGGAAACTGTTCAGAGAGGTGACCAAGAGTCCTACAGCAACTCTAAAGCAGTTGCAGGAATTTATGACAAAGAGTGGTCATTGTGTGCATGTGACAGCAATATCACAAATTCTCCACAAATGTGGCGTGTATGGGAAGGTTGCAAGAAAAAAGAAACCACTCCTCAAGAAAGGCCACATGCAGCCAGGAGTCAGGACTGAGCTTTGCCAAAACGTACCTTGAAGATTCTGAGGCAGATGAGACTAAAATTGAATTATTTGGCCTCAACACCAAACCATATGTCTGGCAGAAATCCAATACAGCTCACCATCCTGTTATGGGGGTGTTTCTCTGCAGCAGGGACTGGTGCACTTGTCAGGATAGAAGGGAATATGGATGAGGCAAAATACTGTCAAATCTTTGAGGAAAATCTGCTACCCTCTGCCAGAAAGTTGTCAATGGGAAGAAGGTTTACCTTCCAACATGACAGTGACCCAAATCACACAGCAAAACTGAGCATACAGTGGTTGAAGAAGAAAAAGATGAATGTCCTTGCATGGCCTAGACAGAACCCAGACTTAAACCCCATTGAATATCTGTGAAATCGCTTGAAGACTGCATCAAATTTAACTGAACTTTAGTAGTTCTGCACAGAAGAGTGGGCAAATATTGCA